GGAGGTTTTGGTGATGGGACACAATAACTAACTACATTGTATACTGACAAAATAAAAATTTTTTAAAAAAAAGGATCTACCATGGAGACCTGTATGTTTTAAATCATTTAGCCTGTAAAGCAAATTAGACTGGCTTTAAGTAGAGACTAAAAAAAAAAAAGTTCATAAAATTTGAGCTTGTAAACTACACCTAAAACACAAGTAGCCTCTCACTTAGAAATAAAATTTAAGTCAGTAGTTGAGAACTCATAATATATATGAGGTGTCTTCAAAAAGTTAATAGAAAGACTTGTATTATCTTTTTTTTTTTCCCTTTTTTTTTTTTTTTTGTCTTTTTTTCGTGACCGGCAATGGATCGCAACCCTCAGTGTCGCGCTCGCACCTCGCTCAGCCAGTGAGTGGCTGGTCTGTATGTGGGATCCGAACCCTCGGCGGGAGCGCCGCTGCACTCCCAAGCGGCGCACTGTAGCAGTGCGCCACCGGGCCGGCCCGAGACTTGTATTATCTTTTAATTCCATTTTCCATGAACTTTCTGAAGTACCCTCGTATACATATTTGCTGTAGAAAGACAGTGATAAGGTATAAAGGTCACTATACAAAATTTATTTAATTGTAGTGTACATGAAGCATAGAACATATTGAAGCCCAATCACCATGTAGAACACAGTTTCTATGGGAAAAATGATTTCAAAATTGTATATTGGAGGCCAGAAATCCATCTCCTCTAGCTCTACAATGAGGTCATGATCGTGCCTCCTACTCTCTTTTGTAGTAGAAAGAAGGATTTTATCATTCCTGACTCAGGGGGGGCCCCCACAGGTCACGGGCCTGGAAGGGGGTGGGGGGGAGAACGGGGAGGAGAATTCTAGGATTGGCAGGAGTCCTTAAGCCGTGGTGGAGATGAGGGCATCCTACCAACGTCATCTCACCAGAGACGGCTCTGCGTCCCTGCTTGCTCCCAGATCGCCCTCACTGTTTCACCCCACAGCCTCTGGGGCTGGCTCTCTCATTACCACCCTCTGGGGTTTACGCCAGGCTCTCTCTCTGCCTTTGTCCATATGGAACAGAAGGCAGTGTCTCAACTTCTCTCTACCCTTCTGATAGAGAAAGCAAGCCCAATGCCCTCCTCAAGTGTTTGTTCACTGGTTTGTTTTTATTTTTTTAGTGGAGGGAAGGAAAATAGGAATTAAAATAAGCCCCTTCTCACTTCTCTCCCTACTCTATTTTTACCCAAACCTTGTAGGAAAAGACAGTCATATGTGGAGAGGCGGGTCTTCGGCTATACAATGTTCACTCTCTTCTCGAAAGAAAACCAACTTCAGATGATCCTCAGCACTCTACGAGGCTATGAAAGAGAACAGAGAGCAGGATAGGAGAGAAACGATGAATTAGTGTCTGGGGAATGCGGCAATTGATGTCAAGGAAAAGAAAGATGGCAGAAGATGCTGTGACAAAGCACACGGCCACCACCGGAGGACTGCAGCAGGAGTGCCCGTAGGTTACTGTGTTTTCTCCCCTCTGGTTTTCCACTTCCCGGATCACACGTGATTACGGGCAATGGGGAAGAAAGGAGGAAAGTAAGGGGATGAGAAGATTACCAGAAGCTGCTGCGGGACGAGGGGTTCCCGTGGCCACTCGATTCATTCCCTGGTGGCCCTTTGTAAGAGAGAGTCAGACTGAAGTTCTACAGAAAACGTCCTATGCACCTTTACATTACAGCTCCAGCCAAGAACCCCTCACTATTTCACTGGCAATCGTGTCATGCTACGCTTTGAAGACCAACAACCAACAATCTGAATGTTCTGCAAAAAGAAGAGAAAGATACTCCTCAGAATTCACACACACACAATTATTCTAAACAACTAAACTGATCCCGAATCAAAAATAAAAGTACAAGGTGAAATGTGCATCAGTGTGTCTTTCCCTCTTACTTTGTTCTTCTTTGACTTTTCTCCCATGAAGAAAGAGACAAGGGCCAGATAGGAAATATCTAACGCAACAGGATGATGGACTGGCCTGGCCATGACAAAGGAGCTGGGGCTGAGCTGGAGGAGGTGGTCTGTGACCCCACAAATGCATCCTGTCATAACCAATGCACTAAGGAGACACGCACAATTCCCAGTAATGGATCTTCACCATGGACTAGTCTGTCACCCTTTCAACTCCTTTTCTACCTCCCCCACCCCCACTTTGTGCCTGCTCCCACACATTTAGCCCTCAAGGACCATCTTGGCTCACCACCCTTAATCTCTCTAAAATTTTCTTCCCTTTTTCCTATTCTTCATTCAAAGGTTCCCTAACACACAGGACACCGTTAGGTATTATTCTTAATAGCTGATCAGAGCAATTCACACCAAGGAATGAATGAGGTTTAATGGAGGGTTCATCTCTATTTTAAAAGAAATTTCAAATGGAAGGGGAGGGCTGCTATGTGTATTTGAACTGGGCCTTCAGGGCTCCAAGCCTACTCCAGTTCATAGGAGTGCCTAATTAAAGGTTCCCCTAATTTCACCTCCAAGAGAATGAAAAACCCATTATGCGTTTGCCTGCTCAGTAACCCAAAAACTTCCAACCCCTCCAAAGTAAAATAAAAGAGGGAGAGAAGGGAATGCAGGAGAGGAAGATAAAACCTTTGTTCTTTCAGTCCTCACAATCCAATGAAGTAGGTGTGGACATTCCCCACTGCAGCCTGGAGAGGTCAAGTCCCACCATTAGTCATATACATGTGCACACACATACATCTATACCTTATGGGTATGCACCAAATATATGTGCAGTGTTCCAAATCATACAACTGACTTCACTAAGTATGCTCTTTATCAAGTGAATGCTGGTATTTATAAAATGGAGTGAGTATGTTATGTTAAATTGCCTTTGAAACTATCAGTTAAGTTCCTTTTGTCAGGCAGTACCATTTTTTATAAACATAATGCCTGATTTGCCTACCTAGTCAGCTATTTCCAATAAGGTCCCCTATCCCTAAGTTATAATAAGATCATGGTCTCAGTGAAAAAAGAACACTTAGGCTCAATCTCACCCTTTGGCATATTAATTCCCAGAACTACATTTTCTTCCAGATTCTACAAAATCAGGGCTACTGATCTCTTGGGAGGCATCAAAAATTTGGAAAGCTAAGCTTTAGCCAGTTGGCAAAGATAGCTTTCAATCAGCCATCCAAATTATTTTCAGAGGCCTGAGGCACCACTGATTCCAAAAGACAGAGTGCCAAGTCAATAGGACTATTGTATCCTCAGGTGACTTGGATGCACGCTGTTGGGAACATGGCAGTAGTAAATGATGTAACACAAGCATAGAATGTGTCCCCTCTAAAAAATAACAAAAATACATGAATTGTGTTATTATGGTAAGTAAGCAACGAGCCATTTTTGCGAAACAGTAATGCCATAGCTCTATAAATAATGCTTCTGAATTAACATAAAACATAAAATTGATAGAGGTTAAGGATATACTTTATGAGGAGCATACTGCATACTTCTGGAAAGAAATGTTTTGAAATAACCCTCTACCTTTTATAGTGCTTTCCAGCTTTCAAATCCGTCACATACGTTGTCATTTCATTGCCCACGTGCTCCTCCCCAGGGGCCTCGCTGGCCCCCTTCCCTGCACAATTCCTCTCTGCTGGATACAAAAACGTGCCAGGTGTCCACCTAGCCCATTGCAGGGGTAGTCTCCCGGAGCTGTGTACCTGTAAGGAAGTGAGCCAGAACGTAAGAGCACGCCCTGTCTGAGAGCAGCTCAGGATCTCTCTGCATAGCCTCTCTGGCTGCGAGGGTCACCCAGCAAGCCGCTGTGCATGGGGCTTCCCCTGCTCTGCAAGTGTGGAGATGTTCAAAGTCCAACAGCTGGGGCAGAGCTCCATGTGCAGACCCTGAGCAGTCCAGGTGAAGGAGGCACAGAGCTGCACTTGTGGGGCACCCAATCTCGAGACACAGGCCTGGGGCCACATCTCCAGCGTGATGAGCTCTGTGGGCAGAGAGTGGGACACGTGCTCAAAGGGGACCTTTGAGGATACAAGAAGTGTGGGCAGGGAAGGGACAGGAAGAAGTGACCTGGGAGAGGGAGCCCATGAACCCCGCACAGAGGAGGTAGGTGGGGAGGATTGGCACAGGTGGCCAAGAGGGGCCCAGAAAAGCAGGAGAACAGGAAACCAGGACAAGACAGAAAGTCCAGGCGGTGACAGGGTGCCCTGGGTGGCCAAGGGGTGCAGGCCTCTGGGTTTGGAGGAGCCGAGGCGCCCTCAGCTGCTCAGGCCTGGACTCCGCCCTCCATCCTGCAACCGTGGGAGCAGCACTGCTGTTAATGTCACTGCAGAATTTGACTGCACTTTAGTCAAAAAGAAACAAAGTCTTCTGGCTGGAGCAGTCGGGCTATTTTATGTTCATCTTTCTTTTTTTAACATAAATTTATGCAAACTCATAGCTGCTTCCTATGCCGCGACAGGACACAGCCCTCTCCCCACCAGGGTCCTCCTGGTGTGCGCGCCCACTCCCCGCAAGTGGCTTCCCTTGAGAGGCCTCCACAAGGGCGATGTGTCTACTGTTTCTGAAATCGGACTTTTCCAGAAGCACGGGCCTTTGGCCACCCTGTGAGTCTGCACCCCTCTGGAGGCCGTAGTGTTCTGAGTGCTGGAGGGCTCTGCCCCACCTGGCCATTTTGACACTGTCCCCCACACGCTTTGGGTAAAGTGCACATTCCTGGAAAATGGCCACGTGACCCTCCTTCCTTTCTAATTCCCCCTTGGGGTGAGTCTTCTGGTCAAGCAGAGAGACTCTGGCACAGACACCACACCCAACGCAGGTCCTCCGAGGCCTGGGTGGTGCTGCCCTGGCGTATCAGTTCTGGATGGAGAGAAACTTCCAGTTTCTGCCGTGTGGACTCCTCCCCCCCAGGCTGAGGACAGGTGGAAGCTGCTGTGAGCGCAACCGTGGGTCAGGCGGCTGCCGTCGCCGTGCACAGCTCAGACACGGTGGGCTGGGTTAGCCCCCGCTCTTTCTTCCTCCCCCTAGCTTTTAATTTTGCTTCTTCCTATCAACTGAAAGAAGTGGTTAAGAATCCACCCGTAAGCCAAAATGTAAAGGTAGGAATTTGCCAATTAAAGGAAAAAATTAGTTTTTTAAAAAATTGAAAAACCAGCAATATTATGCCTAGTTTGTATCATATACAGTAGGTTTATATAGGAAAACATTATAATTTGTAAAATTTATTTCACTTAAAGCAATAAAGATTATGCTTTAGAATGCAAATTACTTAAAAAATTTCAAATGATCCCTGAAACTGCGACTCCTCTTCAAGGCCAAATTCTGTTCTAGCAATTAATTCTGCAGAAATGAGCAGAGTTTCCAAAACGTGTGTACATTTGGTGTTTTTGTCAGTGATGCGTGTGACATTGGGACGCTGGAAGAGGCTAAGTGTGCAGCAGAGAGGGGCTGGCAGATGAATACCTGGCCAGGCTGGATGTCGGAGTGTGCTGGCCAGACTGCGGACAGGCCGTGGAGTCCAAAACACGTGCCAAATTAACACAATTTCCTCACATGTCCACGTGTGTGCATTTGGTCCTGCATGTAAATGTGCAGGTCTGCAGCCACATACACACAGGTACTAGAAAGAGACCTCGGAATGGGGCCGGGTGTCCTAGAGACTGGGCTGGGAGGGCAGAGTGAGGCATGTGGATTTCAACTTCATTTTATATTTACTGGCACTGACATTTTAAAAATGGATTCTATCATGAGAGCAGGCAGCCAGTCAGTCTTACATTGTCCTCTATATTGCTTTAAAAGCGGTGCCTTTTAATCCAACAGAAAATGGGCCAAATTCTGAGAAGACTGTCATTATAATAGTGAATCCCTTTTGGTGTCATAATTCTGTAAGGGTCTGTAGCAAGTCTGGAACATTCTTGTCTACCTCTCGTGCCTTGGCGTGGCTCTCCAGTGCCTCCTAGCCCAGGGCCCTGGGGGCTGTGAACACATGGCTGTGGCTGTCCTGTCCCTTGATTCTGATCCCTGGACAGAGTGACTGGGGGCAGCCCCTGGGATCTGCGCTTTTCCTGTAGCACAGTGCGATGTCATGATGTTGATTGGAGACGGAGCTGCCTGTGGCAGACTTGGCGGGCACCAAGTTCTGTTTCTTTCCACCCCAATCCCTCCTGCCTCCGTGACCTGTTTTCTCTCCCCCATGATTCGGGATCCTGGGCCTGCTCCTTCCTGCCAAGGCCAAAGTTTTCAGAGATGCTGCAGCCTGCACTGACCATCCTCACCTGCGCACCCACCCTCGTGTCTCCCATATGCTGTTGCGTCTTCCTGCCCCTCTGGCTCCATCACTTTCTTTCCCAACATTACCCACGACCTCTTTCTCAGCTCCTATCACCTGTCTGGTGAGGTCGGTGTGCTGTGTCCCCCAGGGTGTCTCCACATGTGGGAATGGAGGCATCTGCTCATGAAGTCCCAGCACAGCTACAACTAATCAGGTGCAAGGTCCGTGAGTGCCACACCCAGGAAGGCTGTTCTCAGTGGCGGGCTTAGTGGCTGGGGGGAGCCACTGGGGACCACCTGTCTGCCACCATTCACCCTGTAAATGATCTCAGGTTGTGTAAGAAGCTTTCTGCAAACACAAGGTATCCAGGGCTAATGGAGAATGAGGATCCCCATGGGCGTGCCAGACGTGTTTCTCACCATGCACAAGTCTGTGGATTCCTAAGAAGAAATTTTAACTGAGTTTGCTGGAAGATGTGTTCATGGTTCATGTTTTGATGACACTAGCAAAGTTGTCATTCAAAACAGCTTACTTTTAAAATAATAAATTATGTGAAACAATGAGCAGAAAAGCCCAGGTCAAAAGGTCCCCTTCCCCAGGTCCCTGGTGAAGCTCCTCAGAATCTCTTGATTCAGGGATGTGTCGTCAAAGGGATGCGCCTGGGGAAGGGAACCGCCCACGAGCTTTCCCCACATGCTTGACAGTCTCGTAAGGATTTACAGGAGAGACTACAGAGTGCGCTGGGTCCCAATGGATCCATGTCTGCCAGTGCCCCCCGTCAAGCCCAGTGGATGGTCACAACCAAGTTATCCACGAGATGCTCCTGACAGAAAGCTGCACGTGTGCGCATGAAGAGACAGACGGGGAGAGCTCGTGAGGCAGTGTTACATCAACCCAAAGCTGCAGATATTTAGATGCCAGTTAAGGAAGGGTGGACAAGTAGAGCAGGTGCATCTCAGAGCACGACACAGCACAACACAGCACGACACAACACAACACAGCGCAGTGCAGCACAACACAGCATGACGCAGCACAGCAAAGCACGACACAGCACAGTGCAGCACAACACAGCACGACACAGCACAGCACGGTGCAGCTCAGCAAAGCACGAAACAGCACAGTGCAGCGCAACACAGCACAGTGCAGCGCAACACAGCATGACACAGCACAGTGCAGCGCAACACAGCATGACACAGCACAGTGCAGCTCAACACACCTGACACAGCACAGTGCAGCGCAACACAGCACAGTGCAGCAAAACATAGCATGTCACAGTACAGTGCAGCACAGCACACATGACACAGCACAGTGCAGCAAAACATAGCATGTCACAGTACAGTGCAGCACAGCACACATGACACAGCACAGTGCAGTGCAGTACAACACAGCACACTGCAGCACAACACAGCACAGTGCTGCACAACACAGCACGACACAGCACAGCACGGTGCAGCACAACACAGCACAGTGCAGCGCAACACAGCATGACACAGCACAGTGCAGCTCAACACACATGACACAGCACAGTGCAGTGCAACACAGCACAGTGCAGCAAAACATAGCATGTCACAGTACAGTGCAGCACAGCACACATGACACAGCACAGTGCAGCACAACATAGCACACTGCAGCACAACACAGCATGGCAGCACAGTGCAGTGCAACACAGCATACTGTAGCACAACACAGCACAGTGCTGCACACCACAACATGACAGTACAGTGCAGTGCAGCACAACACGGCACGACACGGCACAGTGTAGCACAGCACAGAGCAGCACAGCAAGTGCAGCATGACACAGCACAGTACAGTACTACACAGCACAACAGCACAGTGCAGCACGATGCAACACGACATAGCACAGTACAGCATTACATAGTACAACACAGCACAGTGCTGTACGGTACAGTGTAACACAATATAGAACAGCACAACACAGCACGGCACATGCAATACAGCACAGCATGGGCCGTACAGGACGGGATGATACAATACGGTGCAGTACAGCACAGCACAGAACAGTGCCCTACAGTACCACACACAACACAACACAATGCAGGTCTCCCAGTACACGTGAGGCTCCCCACACAGTGTATATGATGCAGTACAGGTTATGTAATACAGAATTTATAAGATGATACCACCAAGGTCAAGTGTGTGGATCCCTGGACCATGGGGCAACGGGACAGCCCCGGGCTGAGACTGACCTCTGGGGAAAGGGCCAGGGAGGAGGGCCACCAGCAGCAGTAAACCACAGTCACACGCCTCGCCGTGCCCCATGGGGAGCTCTGGGCCAGGTCCTGCAGTTGCTGCCCATCAGCGGGGTGGGTCTGGAGCAGATGTTGAACCTGTTTGTAAAGTGGAAATTTGGTGAGGAATGGATGAGTTAGTTGATACGTTTCCATAAACACTAGGGAGCCTTGCAGGGTGGGTGCTGGGGCTCAGGAAGTCACTGCACCTGCCCCTGCACAGTGAATAGCGCCCGTGGCTTGCAGAGGCACCTGCACTGGGCGGTTCCGCCAGGACTGTGCCTTCCTCATTGCCAGGCCCGGGCCCAAGTGAGTGGCCCTTCCCCGAGGCAGCCGCCCCCAGGAACAGGAGGGCTGCGCCACTGGCTGTAAGGGCAGAAAGCCCCAGGATCGTGCTGCTGGTGCAGCAAGAAGTTACGTTTTCTTGTTTCTATCATTTTAATTTTCCAAGATCCAAGAGACCAACGTAATTGTAATTTGTGTTGTTTTGGCGACTTGGGCTTGCAGATTCCTAATTACACTATATGACGGTGGTTTGTGAAAGAACACTGTGCACAAGCTGCCCTGGGATGTCCATTCTCACTGACGTAAACAAAACTGAAAACAAACAAACAAACAACTTCACGGAGACTGCCCACAATTTACACATGTACCCTGTGACCGTACGGAATAACGGCCGCATGGCTGAGTGAGCGTCTATCATCTGGGGACCTCTGTCCTAAAGCTCTGCGGTGTCCCAGGGCCCTGTGGGGGGCACTGACTGCTGAGTGTGGGGCTGTTCTCTGAGAGTCGCAAGTCCACGGTGGAGGGGGAGGGGTGGGCTGTGGTTGTCCTGGGCACTATTAGCCAGGGAGGAGGGGTGGAAGCAGATGGCACCCCGCAGGCCAGGGGCAAGGACACGTGCCCCACGCTGCAACTCCCTGGCTTTCTGCAGACCCTTCTCCACATACCTGGGGGAAGCGGCCCTGTCCCCAGCGAGCTGACCACCACGAAGGCACCAGTTGTGGCTCGTGCAGGGTCATTATCAGGGCTGAGGACGCGGCTCCAGGGAACGGTCCCCATGGGTGGTGGCGGCCCCTCCCCAGGATGTGGTGGAAGCTCCTGGGGCATGGTGGAGGCAGAATCCCATACACAGACATGATATAGGTACGGTGCAAATGTAGACAGAGAGAGAGGGGAACCTGCTGGGTTCAATTTGGACAGATTTTATGGGGGGAAACAGGAGGCAGGGTCTGCATGGGGAATGAACAGAGGCAGCTGGACGTGCTGGGCGTGAAGACCTGGCAGAGCCCCCAGCAGTTGGCTGGCACCCCTCGCCCAGTAGGGGACACAGCTACTCCCAGGATCTTGTGGGCTCCTCTGGAAGCCCCTGAGCTAGAGATGGAAACAGATGAGTGTGAAGAGTCTGGACAGCAAAGGCAAAGTGTACGGTTTCTCTGCACTTCACTGGGGGATCATTGAGGCTTCAGGCAGGAGCCTGGGGTGACGAACAGCCATGCAGGCATGGCCAGGCCTCCTGGGCACCCATACCACAGGGAAGCAGGTCATCCTATCTAGTCACCAGGTGTCACTGAACTCTCAGTGCAACAATGTCAGGCAATGGTCACTCAAGGACAGTGATCTCTTCATGGCGAGGATGGAGCCAGCCCATGGGGTCACTGTGTGTGAACCATAGCCTGTACACCAGAAAAGAGGAGTTACTGGAGGAGGGGCAGATACCCAGGAGCCCTCACCTGCGATGCTGAGCCAGGAACCCTCATCTATGACACAGAGGAGATAGAAACCTTCACCTGTGATGCTGAGTTAGGAGCCCTCACCTGTGACACTGAGGAGCCAGGAGCCCTCACCTGCGAAGCTGAGTCAAGAGCCCTCACCTGTGACACTGACGAGCCAGGAGCCCTCACCTGCAATGCTGAGTCAGGAGCCCTCACCTGCGATGCTGAGTCAGGAGCCCTCACCTGTGACACTGAGGAGCCAGGAGCCCTCACCTGCGATGCTGAGTCAGGAGCCCTCACCTGTGACACTGAGGAGCCAGGAGCCCTCACCTGCGATACGGAGTCAGGAGCCTTCACTTGCAACGCTGAGTCAGGAGCCCTCACCTGCGACGCTGAGTCAGGAGCCCTCACCTGTGACACTGAGGAGCAAGGAGCCCTCACCTGTGACGCTAAGGAGCCAGAAGCTCTCACCTGTGATGCTGAGTCAGGATCCCTCACCTGCGATGCTGAGCCAGGAGCCCTCACCTGCGATGCTGAGGCAGGAGCCCTCACCTGCGATGCTGAGTCAGGAGGCCTCACCTGTGATGCTGAGTCAGGAACCCTCACCTGCGATGCTGAGTCAGGAACCCTCACCTGCGATGCTGAGTCAGGAACCCTCACCTGTGATGCTGAGTCAAGAGCCCTCACCTGTGAAACTGAGGAGCCAGGAGCCCTCACCTGCGATGCTGAGTTAGGAGCCCTCACCTGTGACACTGAGGAGCCAGGAGCCCTCACCTGCGATGCTGAGTTAGGAGCCCTCACCTGTGACACTGAGGAGCCAGGAGCCCTCACTTGCGATGCTGAGTCAGGAGCCCTCACCTGTGACACTGAGGAGCCAGGAGCCCTAAACTGTGACACTGAAGAGCCAGGAGCTCTCACCTGCGATGCTGGTCAGGAGCCCTCACCTGCGATGCTGAGCCAGGAGCCCTCATCTATGACACTGAGGAGATAGAAACCTTCACCTGCAATGCTGAGTTAGGAGCCCTCACCTGTGACACTGAGGAGCCAGGAGCTCTAACCTGCGATGCTGAGTCAGGAACCCTCACCTGCGATGCTGAGTCAGGAGCACTCTCCTGCGATGCTGAGTCAGGAGCCCTCACCTGCGACGCTGAGTCACGAGCCCTCACCTGTGACGATGAGTCAGGAGCCCTCACCTGTGATGCTGAGTTAGGAGCCCTCACCTGTGCCTCACCTACGACGCTGAGTCAGGAGCCCTCACCTGTGATGCTGAGGAGCAAAGAGCCCTCACCTGTGATGCTGAGGAGCAAAGAGCCCTCACCTGTGACGCTGAGGAGCCAGAAGCTCTCACCTGCGATGCTGAGCCAGGAGCCCACATCTATGACACTGAGGAGATAGAAACCTTCACCTGCGATGCTGAGTCAGGAGCCCTGACCTGTGATGTTGAGTCAGGAGCCCTCACCTGAGATGCTGAGGTAGGAGCCCTCACCTGTGCCTCACCTACGACGCTGAGTCAGGAGCCCTGACCTGTGATGTTGAGTCAGGAGCCCTCACCTGAGATGCTGAGGTAGGAGCCCTCACCTGTGCCTCACCTACGACGCTGAGTCAGGAGCCCTGACCTGTGATGTTGAGTCAGGAGCCCTCACCTGAGATGCTGAGGTAGGAGCCCTCACCTGTGCCTCACCTACGACGCTGAGTCAGGAGCCCTGACCTGTGATGTTGAGTCAGGAGCCCTCACCTGAGATGCTGAGGTAGGAGCCCTCACCTGTGCCTCACCTACGACGCTGAGTCAGGAGCCCTGACCTGTGATGTTGAGTCAGGAGCCCTCACCTGAGATGCTGAGGTAGGAGCCCTCACCTGTGCCTCACCTACGACGCTGAGTCAGGAGCCCTGACCTGTGATGTTGAGTCAGGAGCCCTCACCTGAGATGCTGAGGTAGGAGCCCTCACCTGTGCCTCACCTACGACGCTGAGTCAGGAGCCCTGACCTGTGATGTTGAGTCAGGAGCCCTCACCTGAGATGCTGAGGTAGGAGCCCTCACCTGTGCCTCACCTACGACGCTGAGTCAGGAGCCCTGACCTGTGATGTTGAGTCAGGAGCCCTCACCTGAGATGCTGAGGTAGGAGCCCTCACCTGTGCCTCACCTACGACGCTGAGTCAGGAGCCCTGACCTGTGATGTTGAGTCAGGAGCCCTCACCTGAGATGCTGAGGTAGGAGCCCTCACCTGTGCCTCACCTACGACGCTGAGTCAGGAGCCCTGACCTGTGATGTTGAGTCAGGAGCCCTCACCTGAGATGCTGAGGTAGGAGCCCTCACCTGTGCCTCACCTACGACGCTGAGTCAGGAGCCCTGACCTGTGATGTTGAGTCAGGAGCCCTCACCTGAGATGCTGAGGTAGGAGCCCTCACCTGTGCCTCACCTACGACGCTGAGTCAGGAGCCCTGACCTGTGATGTTGAGTCAGGAGCCCTCACCTGAGATGCTGAGGTAGGAGCCCTCACCTGTGCCTCACCTACGACGCTGAGTCAGGAGCCCTGACCTGTGATGTTGAGTCAGGAGCCCTCACCTGAGATGCTGAGGTAGGAGCCCTCACCTGTGCCTCACCTACGACGCTGAGTCAGGAGCCCTGACCTGTGATGTTGAGTCAGGAGCCCTCACCTGAGATGCTGAGGTAGGAGCCCTCACCTGTGCCTCACCTACGACGCTGAGTCAGGAGCCCTGACCTGTGATGTTGAGTCAGGAGCCCTCACCTGAGATGCTGAGGTAGGAGCCCTCACCTGTGCCTCACCTACGACGCTGAGTCAGGAGCCCTGACCTGTGATGTTGAGTCAGGAGCCCTCACCTGAGATGCTGAGGTAGGAGCCCTCACCTGTGCCTCACCTACGACGCTGAGTCAGGAGCCCTGACCTGTGATGTTGAGTCAGGAGCCCTCACCTGAGATGCTGAGGTAGGAGCCCTCACCTGTGCCTCACCTACGACGCTGAGTCAGGAGCCCTGACCTGTGATGTTGAGTCAGGAGCCCTCACCTGAGATGCTGAGGTAGGAGCCCTCACCTGTGCCTCACCTACGACGCTGAGTCAGGAGCCCTGACCTGTGATGTTGAGTCAGGAGCCCTCACCTGAGATGCTGAGGTAGGAGCCCTCACCTGTGACACTGAGGAGCCAGGAGCCCTCACCTGTGACACTGAGGAGCCAGAAGCCCTCACCTGCGATGCTGAGTCAGGAGCCCTCACCTGCGATGCTGAGTCTGGAGCCCTCACCTGCGTTGCTGAGCCAGGAGCCCTCATCTATGACACTGAGGAGATAGAAACCTTCACCTGCGATGCTGAGTCAGGAGCCCTCACATGCGATACTCCTATGACACTGATGAGATAGAAACCTTCACCTGCGATGCTGAGTCAGGAGCCCTCATCTATGACACTGATGAGATAGAAACCTTCACCTGCGATGCTGAGTCAGGAGCCCTCATCTATGACACTGATGAGATAGAAACCTTCACCTGCGATGCTGAGTTAGGAGCCCTCACCTGTGACACTGAGGAGCCAGGAGTTCTCACCTGCGATGCTGAGTCAGGATCCCTCACCTGCGATGCTGGGTCAGGAGCTCTCACCTGCGATGCTGGGTCAGGAGCCCTCACCTGCGATACTGAGCCAGGAGCTCTCACCTGCAATGCTGAGTCAGGACCCCTCACCTGCGATGCTGAGTCAGGAGCCCTCACCTGTGATACTGAGGAGCCAGGAGCTCTCACCTGCGATGCTGAGTCAGGAGCCCTCATCTATGACACTGATGAGATAGAAACCTTCACCTGCGATGCTGAGTTAGGAGCCCTCATCTGTGACACTGAGGAGCCAGGAGCCCTCACCTGTGACTCTGAGGAGCCAGGAGCTCTCACCTGCAACGCTGAGTCAGGAGCCCTCACCTGCGATGCTGAGCCAGGAGCCCTCATCTGCAATGCTGAGTCAGGACCCCTCACCTGCGATGCTGAGTCAGGAGCCCTCACCTGCGATACTGAGCCAGGAGCTCTCACCTGCAATGCTGAGTCAGGACCCCTCACCTGCGATGCTGAGTCAGGAGCCCTCACCTGCGATACTGAGCCAGGAGCTCTCACCTGCAATGCTGAGTCAGGACCCCTCACCTGCGATGCTGAGTCAGGAGCCCTCACCTGCGATACTGAGCCAGGAGCTCTCACCTGCAATGCTGAGTCAGGACCCCTCACCTGCGATGCTGAGTCAGGAGCCCTCACCTGCGATGCTGAGCCAGGAGCCCTCATCTATGACACTGAGGAGATAGAAACCTTCACCTGCGATGCTGAGTCAGGAGCCCTCACCTGCGATACTGAGCCAGGAGCCCTCACCTGCGATGCTGAGTCAGGAGCCCTCACCTGTGATGCTGAGCCAGGAGCCCTCACCTGCGATGCTGAGTCAGGAGCCCTCACCTGCGATGCTGAGTCAGGAGCCCTCACCTGCGATGCTGAGTCAGGAGCCCTCACCCGCGATGCTGAGTCAGGAACCCTCACCTGCGATGCTGAGTCAGAAACCCTCACCTGTGACACTGAGGAGCCAGAAGCTCTCAACTGCGATGCTGAGTCAGGAACCCTCACCTGCGATGCTGAGTCAGAAACCCTCACCTGTGACTCTGAGGAGCCATGAGTTCTCACCTGCGATGCTGAGTCAGAAACCCTCACCTGTGACTCTGAGGAGCCATGAGTTCTCACCTGCGATGCTGAGTCAGCAGCCCTCACCTGTAGCTGAGTCAGGAGCCCTCACCTCTTATGCTGAGTTAGGAGCCCTCACCTGTGCCTCACCTGCGATGCTGAGTCAGGAGCCCTCACCTGCGATGCTGAGTCAGGAGCCCTCACCTGTGACACTGAGGAGACAGGAACCCTCACCTGCGATGCTGACTGAGGAACCCTCACCCACATCACTGAGTGGTGCCTCTGGGCCAGGATGGCCATGCCCCCATCTGTGATTTGTAATGTGGCTATTTAACTGTGATTAGGTCAATCTGTGAAGCTTGAACAGTTTCTTTCTCTTTTTAAAGAAAACAAGGTGAAAATATCTGTCTTTTAGGTTTTTAATTTGTATTCACCTTTTAGAAAAAAATACTAGAATTTCATATAGTTTTTTAGCTTACAGAAAAGCCAGAAGAAAGGTAGCAGGAACTGATGTGTATCGCATATTTATATGCTGTGTGGGTGTGTTGGGTGGCCTGTGTGATCACATCTACACAGTAGAAGACATGTAACTTTTAAACAGAATTGGATATTGGTCTCAATATTTTTGGGTAAATGGACATGAGAACTTGAAGAAGTGCACGGTTCATTCCTTATTACCCGTCAGCATGCCCTCCTGGTGCTTGGGCCGGCCTCATGGCTCACTCAGGAGAGTGCAGTGCTGATGGCGCCAAGGCTGCGGGTTCGGATCCCGTATAGGGATGGCCAGTGCACTCACTAGCTGAGCGGGGTGCAGATGGCGCCGAGCCAAGGGTTGCGATCCCCTTACCGGTCAAAGAAAGATCCTGGTGCTTCAGGAGAACATACACAGCACTTTAAGTGCTAAAGTGGTTTTTCAGATACTAAATAAATCACCCAGGTCACCAGTGGAAACAGTATCTGTAATCACCATCCACCATTTCCTGGGAACCACAGGTTTGTCTCAGCAGCGCTGTTCATGACACAGGAAACAGGGGGACTGGCCGTGGACTTGTGAAGTGATTCCCTGAAGTTCTGTGACGGAACAGGGAAACTGGTCATCCCCTGCCCTGCAGCCTGCCAGGGACCGGGAAGGGAAGCTCGTGGCAAGATCGCTAGTGTCACTGGCTTTAATCAAGCTCTTTGCTGCCATTGTTCACAGATGGGGAGAAACGTGTGAAGGGGAAAGTTTCTCCCCAGAGACCGTTGTCCCAATTCCTGGCCTGCCCTTCGTGTTCTCATCACTGTGGGCATCCCTGGTGAGTCTCAAAGCCGCTCCCCTTTGCTGGTCTAAAGGCCAATCCTAACCTACTTAAATATGTTCCAGAACTGAAAGAAAACAGTAGATATACGGGGTGAAAAAAATGAGGATCTTAGCAGAGAAATGAAAAATTAAGGAAAGAAATAAAGAATCAAAGAGAAATTCTGGAATTTAAAAGTACAATATTTGAATTAAAAAATTCACTAGATGCTTTTAATAGCAGCTGGAGACAGCAGAAAAGAGGCCAGGGAACTTGAAGCCAATCAGCAGAAATTGTCCAAACTCAGTAAAAGAGGAAAGCACAGGTAAAAATAGAATGAACAGAGCCTGTCGGACCACGATAAGCTGTGTAACATACAGAATTGCAAACACAGGAGGACAGAGGAGAGACAATGGAGCAGGAAAAAAACCCAAAATAGGACCAAAATTTCCCTCAGTTGGTGAAAAACATCAAGCCACAGAAGCAAGAAGCTCGGAAAGCTGCAGGAAGACAATGAACAGGCACACGACAGACCCCGTGCGGAAAACCGAAGGTGAAAAAGTCCTTAAAGCAGCCAAGGAAAAGATTCCAAACCAGGGCTTCAGCGGTGCTGGTGATGCGCGGGACACAAAGCGTCGAGTCCACGAAGCAGCAAAGGAGGAAACGTGAGCACAGAAGGCGGCAACGTGACCACGGTCTTCACCACGGCGGAGCCTCGCAGACACTCACGGATAAACAGGTACAAGGAGAACCTGGAACCCGCTCACTCACCTCGCGAGGACACTGCAGAACGCTCTTCAGGCTGACGGGCGATGACCAGGACGAAACAGCAGGCCAGCGACGCCCACCACGACAGAATGACGGCGTGTGCACATTAGTCCTCCACCGTCTGTAATAATTAAGAGTGAGTGTTGTAATCATTAGAACAACTACTAACCAACAGAAAAACTGATGAAGAGCCCTGAAAAAATATTTCACTCTTAAAAGAAGCAGAATAGGAGGAAAAAACAAAAAACAGGAGCATTTGAAAACCAACAGGAAGATGGAAGATGTGAAATCAGCCATACCAAAGATATAATAAAACGTAAATCACCCAAAGGCTTCAATTATTAGCAATAACTTTCAGACTGGGGAGCAGATCTCACTACAAAAATCCACTTACACGAAGACACAGGAGGTCAAAAGACAAAGAATGGGGGAGAATATTCCATGTGCTACGCACTGAATGTCTGCGTCCCCACAATTTCTATGTTGAGCACCTAATTTCCAAGGTGATGGTATTAGGAGGTGATTAGGTCGTGAGGGTGGAGCTATTATGAACACAATTAGTGCCCTGCAGTAAAGGAACAAGGACAGAGGCTGTCCCTCCCTGCTGTGTAAAGACACAGAGAGAAGAGAAGCTGCCCCTCTGCAAACCAGGGAGCAGGTCTTCCTGCAGCGGCTTAGGTCCTTCACTCACCCGGGGGGTTGCCTCACTGTTGGGCCAATGCCCTGGCCGGGAGCCATTCAATAAAGTGCCATTCTGAGTAGGAGGAAGAGGAGAGGGACGTGGTGAAGAGGCAGCCCCTCCCTGGCTCTGCGGTTCCCTGCTCAAGACAGCTGACCCAGCTAAGGCCGCTCCCACCTCTCCAAGAGCTCCCAGACCTCTGCTTCTACACTTGGCTCCCTATGTGTCTGTACCTACGAATCTTTAACCCAGAACCAAACTGGGATCTCAATAAAGGAAAAAAATTTCTATCCAGCAGAAGACAGGCTGTCTTACTTTTCTCCTGGAAAAATATACCCCAATCCATCTTCCCACAAGCAGTTTCTGCACCATGTGTGCCCTTAAAACGTGGCCCAGTCCTGTGCACAGCACTGAGACCCAGAGGCCATGAGAGTCTGCTAAAAACAGCTCTCAACATTCACTGCTCTGAACTAGGTGCCCAAGGCGACCTCACTGTGACCTTGGAACACCTCGACTCCCTTCCCGGGCCTCAGTTTCCCCACTTGTAAAAGGATGAGGGTGGACTAGATGCCATCTTATTCTCTACCCTCAAGTGAGACAAAATCAGAGAGAGCAACAAGCATCAAACTCTGGGGGCTCCTGCCACCCCGCACAGGCAGGGCCCTTCACTGGAGCCTAACGTGGGATTGGCGTTGTGCAGGCAACCTGGGGCCGGTGAATGCTGGGGCTAAATCCCGTGAAGAATGATAATCTGGTCCAGGCCCCAGGCCTGACCCTTTCGGGGGCCCTTTACACACACTTGGTCCCAGCGCCCACTGGAGGACAAGGGCACATTCTTCAAGCAGGACCAACCATGCAGGGCCCCAGGGAGTCCTGGGGTTGGGGGAGAGTCTCTTGCCCTGACACCCAGCAGGCAGGGCATGCCACCCCCCCGCCCCCCCCGCCATGGTCCCTCCCTCGGGTCTCCTTCCCAGGCCTTGACCCAGTCCACAAGGGTGGGTTGAGCAGGCACTAGACAGGCCTCTGACCTCTGGCTCCAGTCCAAAGGGAAAGTCCAAGGACCCAGGCTTGTGGCCTTCCTCCTGCCAGTTGCAGTGAAGGGCAGGTGGGCCACCTCCAGGTGCCCTTACCCAGGGGTCAGGTTAGTTCCTTGACCCTCCATCTCAGCCAGGGACCCCCACCCCACCAGCAAGCCCAGGGCTTCACACTTACAGACACCAGGACAGAAGCACCTCAGGGACATCTGGGGAACAGCTCAGCTTGGGAACCCGTAGGGCACCCCCAAACCTCCAGGACTTCACGCCCTAGCACTGCTGCCACCCCCAGGAACTCTCTAGGGCCGTCCTCACACTTCCAGCCCTGCCCCTGCCCAGAAGGCCCACCGGGTCGGGGGCTGCTCACCCCCAGGGCCCTCCCGCTCGTGGGCTTCGATCCCAGGGCCTTATGGTTGAGACCCTACGAACCGGTGGCCTCACCCCGCTCATCCCTTGACCCCCGCTCCCTGGTCCCCCCGACCCACAGCTCCTGGGTCCCAGGAAGGGCGGGAGCCTGGTGCATCTAACCCGGTTCTTTCAAAAAGTCACAAAGAAGGAGCTGTACGCTGAAGAGTAGTTAGTGTCGTCGTTTGTGTGAAGGTGAGAAAGACAAATAAAAAATTATAAAAAACGGGTGGAAATGGTAAACTTCATTTATTTATTTTTAAAAAGATGACCGGTAAGGGGATCTTAACCCTTGACTTGGTGTTGTCAGCACCACGCTCTCCAAGTGAGCAAACCGGCCATCCCTATATAGGATCCGAACCCGTGGCCTTGGTGTCGTCAGCACCACACTCTCCCAAGTGAGCAAACCGGCCATCCCTATATAGGATCCGAACCCGTGGCCTTGGTGTCGTCAGCACCACACTCTCCCAAGTGAGCAAACCGGCCATCCCTATATAGGATCCGAACCCGTGGCCTTGGTGTCCTCAGCACCACTCTCTCCCAAGTGAGCCACGGGCTGGCCCCTGTAAACTTTATGTTACTTAAATTTTAACAAAATTAAGAGAAAAAAATAATTAAGTCATGGGAGAGGGAGCTAATAAAACCTTACCAGACAGAAGAGCAGGGCGGGTCAGAGCCAGGGCGGGAAGGAGGCTGTGGGCAGCCGGGCTGGGCTCCCCCAACAGCTGGGCCGCATGCCCGCCATTCCCTGTGGCAGGCTCATCCTCTCGATGTTGGGGCTGCGGGCACGCCCGGGTGCTGGGCCAGGCTCGGGGGCAGCAGGATCGCCAAGGGCAGGCTCAGTTTTCCTTTTCCCTCTCCTTGCATGCCCAGGGCCTGCAGCCTGCCTGCTGATTTTTGTGTGTCTTATTAGGTCCCCGGGACTCCTGTGGCCCAGGTGAGCCTCTGGGGTGGGGTCCATCCCGCTCTGCAGAGGGACCTTTTCCCTGAACCTAGGCTGTGCTTGGGAGTCTCAGCCTGGCTGGGAGAGATCAGGCCACAGGGCCTTCCCTGGGTGTACCCCCTGCCCTTGAGCCCACCTGGACCCCTCCTGCACCCCGTGCCTCTCTGTTCTGTGAATTAGCCCAGTTCGTGGTGGGGGTGGGGGCTGAATTGTTCTCTCCCCTTGGCAACCCGGGACGTGTTTACCAGGGCGGACAGCTCCTAACTCAACAGGAGGGTTAGTCTGGTGATGGGGCACACTGACCCCGGAGAGGTGGGTGGGGATCCGTGCAGGGCAGAGCCACCTCATCCCCCTCGCAGGGCCCCGTTCAGCTGAGCTTTTGGCTGGAGGAACATGCTCCTTTCTCCTCATCCAGCCTGACTGTGTGATGGTGGCTCCACTGTGTGTGTGTGTGTGTGTGTGTGTGTGTGTGTGTGTGTGTGTGTGTGTGTGTGATGGGAATTCCAGGCATCTTCAGGCAGGAGACCCCTTCATTCGCCACAGTCACAGGATGGAGCGTGGAGCGACCCCTGCCCAGGGCTCGGAGCTGGAGCTGACTCCGCAGAGGCAGGTGGAGCAGGTTTGTGCCACCTTGGTGCCCACCTCCCGGCACCTCCAAGCCCAGGCCAAGCCTAGGGAGTGGGGCTGATGGGGTTCACCCTTACTTAATCCTGTGTGACTCCTGAGCAGCTGCAGGCTGCCCTCCACATGCCCTCCACACCTCCTCTCCACGGCTCCATGGCAGGGATAGCCCTGCCGTGACTAGTGCTCCCCCTGTGGCCTTGGCTTCAGCTACAAAGCAAGGAGAACCTTAGGCATCTCCAGGGTCCCTCTTTGCCCCCAGCTCTGAAATCCTGCCTGCAGTCGCCAGTCCATAGCTGATCCTGGGCCTCTCTTGTGTGCCAGGGCTGTTCCATTTGAACTTTGCTGCTTGAGGGACTCCAGTGTCATGCCATGTCTATGTTTCCATTGTGAAAAAGAGCCAGTTGCAAAAAACTTCTCCCCCATGGCATGGACAGGGTAGAAGGTAGTAAATGAGAGAAGAGCCCTCCTTGGCAAGAGCTATACCCAGGAACTGGGGAGGGAGTGAGGGTGGGGAGAGGGGCCGGGGCCAGGCACCCCTCCTGGTGGAGGTGACCCAGTCACTACTTCCGAAAGGCCAGAGACATCCGACATTCACCTCAGGACTCGGTTCTGTGATGTTAAAAGACCCCATTCCTCGAATCTTTTGGTTTAGCCTGCCCCGCCACTAAGGGCCTCCCTCCAATGGCTTGCCCCAGGGCCCCCTTGGCCTGCCCTCCCACTAAGAGTGCCCCTGGCCTTTCCTGGCCTACCACTATGGGCTGCCCTGGCCAGATCTGCTGCTAAGGACCCCACTGCCACTAAGGGCAGGACTGTCCGGGCCTACACAAAAGACCTACTAGCCTGGCCTGCCTCAGGGCCCCTGGTTTAGTCCATTTTGTGTTGCTATAACAGAATACTTGGAACTGGGTAATTTATAAAAAAAAATGAAATTGATTGCTTATAGTTTCTGAGGCTAGGAAGTACAAAGTCCACCTGCTGATGGCAACAGTGACCCAGGGGTCTCACATTCCAAGATGCTGGAAGCAGAGAAAGCAGAGACAGACAGACTCCCACGTGCTCTTCTTTTAAAGCCCTCAGAACCATACACCTGACCACTATTTTTAATCAACACAATTGGGCATGGTCTGCCCCTGGCCCCCCAAAACTCGTGTCCTTTTCATATAGTCTTAACTTGTTTCAACTCAAGAGTCCAAAGTTCAAAGGCCCGTCTGTGAAATCAATACAATTTATCTATTTCCAAGATACAATGGTGGGACAAACATAGGGTACATACTCCCATTCCAAAAGGGACACATAGGCCAAAAGAAAGGGGTAAGTCCAAAATCCAGCAGGGCAGGCATTAAATCTCAAACATGGTGATTATGTACCTTGAGTCCATGTTCCATGTCCTCTGCACACTGGTGTGGAGGTTGGGTACCTACGTCCTCAGGC